ATGTATATATATATACACATCAGTATTGCAGGTATTCTTCTTACATCAGAGAATTATGTGGAATGTGTGCATAAGGATAATTTTAATTCTGACTTCTACATTATTAAGAAGAAAATTATGTCTTATTTTTTTCCTTCTAGTCATGAGAGACAACTCGTTCATGAACTTTAAATAAAACCAAAATGAATATTTAACAGATGTCCACGATAAATATAATATTAAATATTACATAATCATTTAATATCTAGTTTCACGTTATAGTCCCTTATTATTATACTTAAGCATGGTTAAGAATTTGCAAGACTTTACATTTGTAGAATGTCTACAATGTGTCAGATTGCTTGGTAAATACAAAAATATATAAGACATTTTCCTTACCACTGAAGAGTAAGTAGTTATTTCTGGAGATCTACATGTCAATAACAAACAATCCGGAAACATGTGCACAGTGTGATACGGATTCACAGAAATGGTGACTAACTTCTCTTGAGTGAGGAGGAAGTCTGAAATCTTTTCAAAGACATATAAACTGGGTATTAAAGGATGAGAAAATTGTGTAGCAAGAGAAAGATACCTGAAGCAACAAGACCAAACTGCAAAATGATATAGAGCTATAAGATGAGCTTAGCCTATTCACAGAAAATTTAAGTTTTGAATAACTTGAGTGAAGGTATGTAACAATGCGCTGCTTTGGATGTTTTAAGTAAGGGATTTTTTTTATGTGAGAAGAATTATTTACCAGGATAGAAAGCAATAGACAGTATTGAAGATACATAACCTGATAAGGGTGAGTACATTTAAGAAGAAAATGGTTGCATACCACTTAGAATCCAGAAAAAAATTTACTGTATAGAGAAGTCCATTAAGCTTAGAATAACTCAATGAAGTATTCTATAATATTGCCCCTGGAAGGTATAATCAATCCTATTCATTAACTCACCAGAAGAGTCCTGGACACTGGTGAGTTGAGGGCAACTGAACTGATTATCAATTTAATGATGCTAAACATCCTAAAGCAAACATGTTATGAGCATTAAGCTCTAGAATTGGATTTGGACAAGTAACCTAACTTCTCTAAGCATTTATTCCTTTTTCTATGAATGAAGATATTTACAGAAACTACCTTACAGATTTGTGAGGATTAAATGTGCTTTTAGCCAATGCTTAGCATATGAAAAGTGCTCTGTGAATATTTATGAATATTATTATTTTCAGCATGAACAAATTTCAGCATTTAATAAAACTATCAATTATATTAGGATGTTGGTATCCCTTCAGATCCACTTGCTTATTTTCCATAATATTTCATTTAGTTGTTGAGGGCCTAAAATGTGCCTAATCACCTTCATAGACAATTTCCTTACCTAATAGAAACTCATAGCTTTGTGAGGATTGCATGGGGTGATAAGATAGACGTGTGAAGAAAAATTACAATATATACATTTAAGTTCCATGAATATTATTTTTAGAACATATAGAAAGTTAGTAGAAAACATAATTGATCATGACTTGGGGACAATAAACTACCAACTTTACCATGGTGGATTTAAAATACGTGAAGAGTTGAATAGCCTATAAAAAATTGAGATAGCTGTGGACAACTACAATAATGGACCGTCTTCTTTATTGATGTCCTTATTAATGTATCCACTGAGGTGGGAGACTACTGTAGTATAACATTTTCACAATGGACTAAGACTGGCAGTCATTATGACATCATTCTTCAATATGTTTACAAATTATGTGGACTGGAGGAAATGAGAAATTCCTGTCTTACTGTCACTCAGATAAGGTGGACTATTTTAAAAAAGCAGAGATATTGAACAGGTATGGGAAGAGCAACCCCAAAACATAATAAATGTAGATGTACTCCACAGATGTCCCCAAGATCTAATCGCACAGTGGTAAAAGTAGATTTGAATTTCTGGTCTAAGAACAATTCCTCACATATTTTGTTATAGGCTGATGATTCCCAAGATGAAACTTTGGCATAACTTAGTTTCAATTTGGAGTGAATGTTTCTTCCACCAAAGTCTCTCTTCAACAGACTTGTCATTTTGGGGGATTTATTTCATTTTTATTTTTAAGGATAAAATGTCTATGACCTTGGAAAATCATTTAAATAAGGACAAAAAACTTTAGTGTTTTTCAGACCATTATGAAGAAATTCTAGAGGTATATAAATAATATATTTGGGGAGTACACTATAGCTATGTAAATAAGGAATCAATACATTTTAATCACTAGATAGAAAGTGGTTCAATTGTATACAAATCAGGAAAAATTAAATATAAACCCAAGGTTATTAATTGTGCACTTATATTTATGAACAAAAATAGCTATTATTTTTTCATGACATATCATGCATCTCTAGATAGCTTTACAAGAACACTAAACCCAACAGGGAAAATAAGTTAATTGGGACATTTTTTTTTTTCTTACTAAGATCAGCAGAAGGAACTTTGATGGCACAGTGGTTAAGGGATTCAAGTGCTAATCAAAAGGCTGGCCGGTTGAACCCACCATCTACTCTGTGGGAGAAAGATGAGTCAGTTTGCTTCTATAAAGAATTACAGTCTTGGGAACACTATGGGGTAGTTCTACTCTGTCCTGTAGGGTCGCTATGCATCGGAATCAACTTAATGGCAATGAGATTTTGGTTTTTAAGGTCAGCAGATCAGAAAAGCTGAAGATTACATGTTACGTTCATCTGAGTCTTACCCAAGAATTAAATAAACAAAGAATAATTCATCTTCATATAAATGTGAATCAATTATTCATATAACTATGCATTGATATTTACATTAATTTTATATTTATAACTGATTAAAAATATAATTACTTGTGGGTAAGGTAATCTCACTTTGTAAAATGTCATTCTGAATTTACTGAGAAGTGATCCCATTTTCATGTTTCTTGATTATGTTGATAATTTTTACTTTTTGAAGACTTAATGTAATGAGACTAATAAATACTTAACTAGTGGTAGGTACAAAATAGTTTAGAACTGTTTATAAGATTTTCAGTTCAGCAAAAGAAAGGAAGACATTTTTAACTTATTATATAATAGCCTTGTTCCAGGCATTCCCTATATGGCTTGAATGACTTTATTAGAAAGGTTTCAATATAGACATGTATCATTTACTATGTAGTGCTTTAACCTCTTCACAGCTCTCTAAATATGGTATGATCAAAATTGGGAGTAGTGATACATATCATGATATTTATATGACTTTATATTTTATGTTAGATGCCTTCATGTTACCATTTTCTTCAACCAGGATGCTTAGAACTTTTACAGAGCACCCACATTTTACATTTGGCATATTACAAAGCGGGCATAAAACTTTGCAGTCATCCTTCTTAGATATCAAGGATGTCCATTAAGAGTTTTCTTATATGTGTCATTCTACACATCAGTGATCTTACTCATTTTCGTGGCATTGGAATATTTGCTTCTTTTGTATCAAAGCCATTCATCAAAAAGTATACCCCAAGTCAAGTCACCAGAGATTTTCTTCCAAGGAGCTCACATTCAGTTATAATGATCATAATTCTATGCACTTTTATAAACAATTAGGTATTTATCTCACAGCACAGCTATATTATAGTCCATTGGTTCATGTATAGATCATGAGAGATTCAAATATCCAAATATAAATATATTATGAATTTTCAGAGAATTTGAGTATAATAAATATAATTAATATTAAAACTTTACTACTATATGTAAGACTGGCAGTTCAAACCCACCAGCTACTCCTTGGAAGGAAGAGGAGGCAATCTACGTCTGTAGTGATACTGCCTCGGAAATCCAAGGAGGGGTTGCTATGAGTTGGATCCGACTCAAGGGCAGTGAGTTTGGTTGTTTTTTTATTCAAGTTGTATTTCAGAAATTAAGTTTACCCTGTCACCTAAATATATACCAGTTATCATTACACTGTCCTGGAAAAGTGATTGAGACTATTAAAAAATAGAATATTTCCTTTTTGTTTAGTAAGTGAAGAAGAAGAATATTATAGATCTAACTTTAAATTTTTCATGGATCACGAATGATTTTTCATATACACATTTCATGTATTTAACCTCTATTCCCATTCCCAAATCTTGTCAGAAAAAGAAAATGCCATTCATTAATATATTATCAATGAATTAACAAAATTAAAGTTTATAAGAATATAATTATATATTAAAGTACCTATTCACTGTAAAAATGCTGTAATATTCCCATGGAAAATACATTTTAATTCATAAATTATCAAAACAATAACATGAAGTACATCTTCAATTAAAAGTTTAAAGCTTGATGATTTTTTTAAAGTTTATAATCTTTTCATTTCAGTTTATTTCCCTGATATTTTTTTATTTCCAATAAACTTAACGAGTATATATGTAGATATGACAAGAACAATTTTAATTGCAATCTTTATAATTCTCAAGAAGCAAAAAATAAAGAATTTTGAGTTTCACTTTTATATTAAACATTTGTTAATTGTCATTATTTTTACATTAAAATATACAGAGTTTTTAAAAATGTAATGATGTAACTTTTGATATCTAGAAGCTAATTAGGAGGCCCAAAACAATTAAATACTTTCAAATCATTCAATAACAGTCTAATCTCTTTAATTAATACAAAACCTGTGACCATTAGACAACAGTTTTCAAGCTCTAAAACTCCTTTGCTTTTAGGCAAATGATTTTTTATGTTAGGTCCTAAATGTCAAATAAAAATTTGTATATAATTTTACAGAAGTAGAAAGAAGTGTTTAGACTATTTCTCATACTTAACGAGTGACTATTATTCAGATGAAGTCTAATATGCTTTTGAGCTTTGCCTCCAATTACTATGAACCAGAGTTCAGAACAAAATAAGTTAATCTCCAATCCTACTGAATGTTCATCACTGAGCCATGCAAAGGACTTACTTACCTTGATACTACGAGGTGACAATGTATTCACAGTAGTCCTACTAGGTTGATTATTCTGAGCACACAGGGCTATAAATAATAATTTGCCAAATGTGACTGTCTCTGATGATATTAATGGATTCAATACAGTTTAACATGTATGGGATGTACATCACTGCACATATTTTGGTTTTTCTTCTAGGTAAGGGAGCGACTGAGGGTTTCTTTAGAAAGAGTCTCTGCACTGGAAGAAGAACTAGCTGCTGCTAATCAGGAGGTAACATGCCACACTTTCTCCTCTTTTGAGGTGCAATATTGCTAACATCATGTCCCTTGTGTTTCACATCACTTTTATTAAAACTGTCACAAAAAGTAAATTACATTCGGTATGATCCTTGAACAAGCCTGTTGAAACTAGTTGTCTGAATCATGCTTTCAGATTTCCAGTTATTCAGATCTGTCACTTGGAAAAGACTAAAGGAAAACTATTGAGATCTAGTGGCATTGAAAAAGACATCTGGTGATACAGTGGTTAAGGCATTCAGCTGCTAACCAAAACATCAGTGGCTGGAACCCACCAGCCACTCCTTGGGAGAAAGATGAGGCAGTTTGCTTCCATAAAGATTTACATCCTTGGAAATCCTGTGGGGCAGTTCCATTCTGTCTTGTAGCATTGTTATGAGTCAGAATCGACTTGAAGGCTGTGGGTTTGTGACATGTGAGTTAGGAAATGTTTCCCTCAAAGTCATGCATATTCTTATCTGCTGAAAGCATTGTGCCTTTGTTTAGAGGTATCATTGAATCCACTTCTTTTAGTATCCTTCATGATTCTAGGAAAGTAATATTTTGATAGTCATTTCTGTAAGATGTAAAGGTTTGTTCTCTCTTTAGGAGGTATTACTCCTTTTGGCTTGTAGTATGCATAAATGAACTTGTATCATTATGCCAAATTAATATATATATACATA